CGTACATATATAATATTAATAAATATACATGGAAACCAACAAAGAATCTTACAAATGTGGCAAAGAGGATTGAGGCTTTTCATCGACAACACCTATTAAAATAAAGATGAAAAAAATATGATCCATGAAAGATGATGATCACTCTTTATGGAACTCATCCTTAGAAAAAGAGATAATATTATGAATATACATATTTATTCCAATAATTATCTATATGATTAGGTAGAAGTAAATAAAAATAAATTAATTTTTTAATATCTTTTAGAAAAGCTTCTTAATAGCTTTATAGATAAAATTATGACTTTATATGTATTTATAGTTGATTGCTAGATTATAAACTTGATCAAATTAACCACATGCTATACATATAGGTAGCTTGTAGAACAAGCTAATTATATGGCATAGATATAAAAAACTTACATTTCAAGTTAAGACATGTATCTAACAAAGTCAACATGTATTAGAGGTTTTATAGAACATTGCATCATAGCTTCTAGTTAGATGATATATATAGAGACAAGAGTGAAGCCTTCTTTACTCAGATCAATGTCTTTTCAATCCTTAATCTTATTTCAAGACTTTCTAGTCTTTTTGTCTTTAGCAATAGCTATTTTAGTTTAGTATTATATCATCTTTAAGTGAATATCTAATCTTTTCAAGTGAAAAAAGAATGTATTGATCTTTCAATTCTTAAAGATTCATGTCCTTAACAAATAGCTTCCAATTTGATGAATTATATGCATCAACTCAATAGATCTAGCTTAGACAAATGATTCAAGCATCATGGATTCTTACAACTAAGTTAACTATTAGTGTTGCACTTTAAAAGTATTGCATACCACCTTCTAAGTATCCAAAAAATTCTATTATTTCTCCACTACATCAGAGCCTACATTCAATAATAAAAAAAATTATAAATTCTTGTAACTATAATTATAAAAATTATAAGATTTATATAATTATTATATATATATATATATATGATTTTTTAATTTCTAAAAATAATCACTAAAAATTAAAGAATATATCTTATCAATACAAAAACTTCATTAAATGTGACTTTTTGAGAAGATGTGATGAGGTATAAACCATTTCTATTATTATTTTAAAATAACAATTACAACTAACTTTGTTCATTCCAACATGCTTCCTTAGTTATTATTTATAGACAATCTTGATTTATTTCTAAAAATTTCTAAGTATTGTAAGTGTTGAATAATTTTTGAGCTTAAGTGTAATTGAATATTAGATAATTCATTAAAGATAGTATCTTAGTTGCATCAACTCCTTTACAATATGCCCCCTAGTTCTATCTTTGACTTTGGATCTTTAATTCATATTAAAAAAATTAAAAAAAATAAAAAATATTATCTTTCTCATTTGCCTTGTAAAAAGAAAATAATAATCTAAGATCACCTTGGAATGTGGCTTAATTTGTAGTGCTATAAGCAAATAAAGTGCAAAAAAGTTTCTTAAAGTGGTATCCTTCCGCATTTCTCATCCATTTGAACTTCTTCACTTTAGTCTTAGTGGAAGAATCTCTCTTCTTACTTTTTCTAGATTCAATTATTATATTATTTTTATAGATGAATTTTCTTAGTACATAGTTGTACATCTTCTTTAAAAAAAACTGAATGATTCTTTAAAAACAACTGAATGATTCACTATGTTCAAAATCTTTCATACTTGAATTAAAACTCAAATCAAGCATAAATTTAAAATATTTTGTTTCAATCAAGGGGGCAAATACCTTTCTTCTGATTTTGATCAATATCTTATCACTCTTGGCATTCAACAACAAGTTGCCACCACTTATATACTCCATCAAAATAGCATTTATATACTCCATCAAAATAGCATTGCTAAACAAGAAAATTATACTTTGATTAATTTGACCAGTGTATGCTCCATGAGGCTCAGCTTGCCAAGTCATATTGGAGGTGAAGTTGTAATATGTATTTCTTATCTTCAAAATAGGCGCCCAACCAAAGCCATTCCACCACATACAACTCTGTTTGAACTTTGGAACAAAAGAAAACCCAATTTATTCCTCATTCAAGTATTTGGAAGTCAAGCTTTTGCAAAAATTCCTGATGCTACTCAGGTAAAGCTTGACATCTGATCTGTTGAATGTGTCCTACTTGGCTATAGTGCTCTCAACAAAGGATACAAGCTTCAAAAACTTCAAATATGGGACATTATTATCTCTTGTGATGTGTACTTCAATGAAGATCGGCCCCCCTTGTTCCTTCTAAAGCACCTGATCTTGTTTTGAACATTATTTTTCAGCAGGATCCCTTGTTCTCTCACACACTCGGTTCTCCCAGTTCTGACCATTCAGCGCTTTCTTCATCGAGCTCCATGACCCTGCCTTCTTGCATTGTTGCTGCTGTGCCTCCCTTCACAGTGACCCCCTCTCGCAAGACCTTACGTTACTGGATCCGCGTATTGTCGGCTCTTCTCATGCACCGCCTGCCCTTGCACGGCTTTCTGACACAACTTCTATGTTAGCAGCCCCCCTTCTCGAACACAAATCACACCCTTTCACCAGCCATCGCTGCTAGACTCACAAACTCGCCACATCCAAGACAACATCCACCTCGGCAAACGACTTGTCTACTGCGACCCATAGTTCTCACAACAAACTGCCACCGATCACACCGGAGCGAGGGATATGTTTGACACCCAACCCACTACTCCTGAGCACGAATGCGGTATCTCCACAATCGGCCAATCAACCACGCTTCTCAGCACGACACCTCACACTTCAGCCCGCACACTCCATTCAAACACGCCTCTTCTGCTCTCAACTCATCCAATAGCGGGATTACGCACAGTCGTGCCACTAACTTCATTCACGCACAAAGGACGCTACCTGCATGATGACCAGAACATCGATGGGATCCTCGTCCTCGCAAAGGGTGCGTGGAATGAAACCATAATTGTGCGGGTACACCACAGACGAGTATAGGATACGATCCACCTGCAGAGCAACCGATGTTCAGAACAATGAGCGGTCGAAACACAGCATACATCTCGTCAACATGCATTACCAAACCCCTTCAGAAATCTCCCAATCTAAACATTCACCTTCATCAGACCGCTCTTCTTGTCAAGCTCGTACTTCACCTTGCTCCCTCTGTTGATCTCGACAACCTGCACGTGTGGCTCAACCTTGTCATAAACTAAGACCTTCAACACCCCTCCCAGCCGTGCTGGGGGACATGCTGCAGCGAAATTACCACATCCTGCACGCCCCACACTATGACCGCAACAGCTTCTCCATCAACAGTCAAATCCACGACTGCCTAACAAACGTGACTTACGCAGTTGAAGATTTCTGGTGCTGCAGGCCCTGAACATCGCAATCCGACACACGCCAATTCAGAACCTCTTCCTCCGGATACTTCCCACTATAACTTCCAACAAGAAGCAGTTCACACACCACGATCTACGCCTATCACACCCTCTCACCGACTTCCGCCCATTTCCACATCTCGCCAACAAACCTTGCCCGGACAGACACACATACCGATTTCGAGGTCATGCCATGGGTGACGCAGCCACTGTGCGACGCTCCATCGACGACAATATGCGGCTGTTCAGTGCAGTTGCCTTGTGTACAGCAGATGATCCGTTCATTGTTGCAACTTCTGCGAACCCATCGGAAGGCATGATGTCAGCTTCACTCCGAATCCCGCTGTCCGTATCTCAGGAAATCTTCCTGCATTCAACGAAATTCACCACGGTACGTCAATTGGTGCAAAGCATCAACTTCAGGAGTCCACCACAACCCTCCAGACACTTGAAGAATAAATCTCACAAATGCAACTCCAAAAGGCTGGAGGGTTTATGGCGAATATCGAAATCTCTGGCTTCATCTTGGAAACCATCACTTCCATTCAACTCCACAACATCCACGGACTCCGTCTAGAGCAACTGAGAAGGAGAGAATCGAAGCAATTGGACCAACGATATTTCGGATCTGTCCCATCAGCTTTTCGTGCTGGATGAAGAGACGATCAAAGTGGGATGCGATGGCGCTATGACTGGCCGTAAACCCTCTTCAAATGATCTCACGACTTCGGAGAAAGGCCCAGCAAGGCAATAGACTGTGCACATCGGATCATCAGGACAGAACGATCCACTCACACAACGTTGCCAGCAATAGTCAAAACTGGAAAAAACAAACATCACATTTTGACTCTAAATTAACGCGCAAGAATCTGATCAACACTCTTGAACGTCTTGTTCCACGAACTTCCACTTCCCAGGCCAACACTCAACAATGGACTGTCAATTTAGCCCACTGCCCCTCCTGATCTAAATTCTGTAGCGTAAAGAATGTCTTCCAACGACAGCGAACTCCTTCGTATCTAGTCACATTTGAAGCTCTCCTGACAAAATACGACAAGAACCAAACCATTCTCCGTGGCCAAAACACACCCAACTTCCCAACATTCCCCAATGCTCCCTCTCGATCCAGTTTTCAACCATAATGCCGTTCAAAATTGCACTCCAACTTGCTACACAAACTCAGAGAGAGGATCAGATCTGCTCACCCGCACCCAATGCGGCCCCTCGAACATACCTGTACAAGGAAATCAAAATCCGGTGCAATACCCTGCTGGGAGATTCCAAAGCTGGTCACTAGCAGTGCTCAAGTGGAGCATGATAATTTGTTTTCCCTATTGGTTTGCTGCTTTACTCAAGCTAGTTATGATCAAAATCATGATCCTCAGTGTTTTACTATGTGTAGGTTTCCACACCTTCATTGTCTCCCATGTGGCTCCGTATTTTTGCTGATCAACGGATTTACTGTACTGGTGCTGAACACATCAAGGCTGAGGAAAACGTCTAAACAATCACTTGAAGGACGTGTAACTTAAATATATTTTTAGTCCGATACCAGTATGCACTCCTGGACCACCGCAATCATCGTATCACACGTAAGACCCTTGCAACACCCGATGGCGATCTAAGCCTGTGTGGGAGGAACTCATGCATCACGCTCTTCCTGTTTTTTTGTGCCAAGTCCTTCCCGGTCCCCTCTTGAAGAGCATCTGAAATCAGGCTCCCGTGCTCATCTCGCAATTCTCTGCAGCTCTGATCATGTCTTCTGTGTAAGTGTCACAGCGCGTGACTGTTCGGTTTCGTTCGGGGCCGACGTGGAATTGTTGAATCGGGTAGGAGCTTGACTCTTGTCCGGGCGGTTTGACTTGCGGGTGGACTGGAGGGCAGATCGAGCCTCCGACTCTGGCCTTCGACTCTCCCCGGCCGGACACTTGGCCTCGAGTTCGTGCAGATCTAGAATGCGCATTGATAAATTGCGAATCGGGAAGCTTTCTTGTATTGACTGACAGCGCAGGCGGAGCGGGGCTAACATACACTGGACCGGGAGTGGCAGGGAGGAGCAGGATTGGACCAGGATGAGGGAGTGGACTCTACAAGCTTCATTCCGGAGTATTGGAGGACTTGCGATTGGAGCTGTGGTCCGATGCACTTGTTCGCGCTTGAGGTGTGATAATGCTCGTGGTTCTGAAGGTTTAGGGATCGATGTGGATGTGGTTCGATGTTCGATCTGTGGTTCTGAAGAGTCTGAGTGTTTGGTTTGAAGGTAGCAGGAAGACACAGAAGAGAATGGCGATCGGATTGAAATAGCGAAGTTCTTGATGGGTTTTGGCGAAGGGCGAGAACAGAAATGTCAATTGGAATAGGCTGAGGGTTTCTGCAGAGAGAGGTACTGTAATTTCGTTACCGGTTGTTTGTCGTTCGATCTTGAGCCTTTCGCCATGTCACCCTTGCATATTCTAACATGCTTGGCCCGAGAATCTGTCCAGGTCTTTTCTATCCAGAAATTTACCTGCGTAAGCTTCCGTCTCTTGGTAATGCAGAGCGCTGGAAGATGAGTTCTCTCTGCGAAATAACGCTAGAGTGGGGGAATCACATCTGGTGACAGAAGCTGGAAGGTGGAAGGTGCCCTCAATCGGTTATTACCAACGCAGGGACCTCCAGCGCCTTTTTCTTCTTAGTAGGTTCTATGAAAACCTGTAGAGATTTAAATCACGGGAAAAAAACAGAAGTGTTCAATTTGAGGATGGGAAACGCACGAGTAAGGTGCGGTTTTCTTGTCGTGACTGCAATCGTCCTCAGCGTTTGCTATGCACAGAATTCAACGGACGCAGACAATTTAATCAACACCCTTGAGAGCCAGGTCATGCAACTTTCGCGGAATGCTGTGACCAATTTCATGAGCTCCTGCGGTAAATATTCTTACATGTCTTTCTTTCAGTAGTCTATCAGTATTTTGCAGGAAATAGTTTTTCTCACATGATTTGCCGTTAGTAGTCATAATGCGCAGAATGAAAGGATAATTGCTGCTCATTCAAGCAAGTGTATCTATCCCGTGTGCGTAGTAGAGATTTTCCAAGCATTCTGCGGAATTCCTTGAGAACTGTAGTAGAGCTGTATTAGGAAGCATTATTCAAGTTTTGTCAAGTAGCTCATAGGAATTTCGGGGTTTTCCAGAATTACTGGCGTCATGTCACGGTAACTGCAGCAGGCACGCTTGTACGCCAGTGCAGGCTGATGAGGGCTATGTCTGCAAATTTGCTAACAACAACAAGTATTGCTTTAACACGGATGGCACTCTGGGGTGTCAAAAGATTCGTTTCTCCTTGACAAAGAGCTTCGTCAGGTAAACTTGCCATCTACAACTAAACTACATTATACACTGCTCCTTCACATGTTGCAACAATTCAGCAATTTAGGAGCTATTATCTTGTTATTGAAGACATTGTTTGAAGACGTCAATCTCTCAGGACGTTGCACCTCTAACACATGGAGATTATGTGTAATGTGCAGACTCATGACACCTCCAAACAATCTGACATCTGAGGAAAAGGCGATCATTTGCTCTCAAAGAATGTTGGATGCTACTTTAAAAAACATTTCATTATCTCCCACTACAATAAATTCGACACGTGCTTACTATGCGGTTTACTTTGGTTCTATAGAAGGCGTTCAACGATACTTTCCTGGTCTCGTGCGTCCTCACTCTAAAATTTCAGAAATAATTTTCTCATAAAACTGCCACCGCAGTTCCTTAACCCAATTCAATTTTGAATTGGTATGTCCTCGTTCGATTAATCTCTGAAGTGTCGTGTGCTGCAAGATTTTCCACCAGAAAACGGGTGCAAGTTTGAACCGCGAAAGCGGCCGTGGTGAGATTCTTAGATCCTCCATCACTGGGATTATGCCTACAAAAACAAGCTTTATTGGTCTTTGGAACAAGACCAATTGTATCCATATTTTAATGCAAATTTGGTCACTTTGGAAAATAATTTTCTCCCTTTTTTTCTTTTTTCCTTTTGCTTTTGCAACACTTCTTGAGTTTCTTAATGCAACTTCTTAATTTTTTATTTCAATTTGAAGTTTTGCAAATTTGAAGTTTATGCAAGAAGCCGTAGTTATGGGAATTTGCAACTGGCTTAATTATCACAACGATGTTTCTCAAACATTGCACACTGAAATTTGAACTCATATCCTGGTCATACACATTGGAGCGACCTCAGTGGAGAAGGACGTGATGGTGCTTCTTGATGCTGGACATTCCATGGGCGACAAGCTTCCCAGCGACGTGTTGGACACTGCTGACATGAGCAAGTTGAGTGGCTGTATCTCAATTGTGACAGAGCTTTCGGACACACTGGCTTATGGCGATCGTGTAACAGTTATCACTTTCACAAGTTCTGGAGCAAAAATCGTTCTTCCGACTGTAAGTAACAGTGACTGCACCCTTCATCTCTTCAGTGCGTCACACAAAATAGAAAAACCCTTAATAAATGTGCCCAAGGGCAGTTTCTAAAATATTAGCGTTATGTTCATATACAGTAAGTATATGCAGTACACGAATTCACATAATATTATGTAGAGTGAAACGTACAGAATAGTGTATGATTAAGTTAAGAGAAGATAGATAAAAAAAAAAAAACAGTGAAATTCCATCAGTTTTACACTATATATGTATATATATATATATATATATATATTGCTGAGATAGTCTCTACGTATGTTCAAATTATCACGATTCAAGCGTCCGCTAGCTTTTTGCAGGTCTAGATTTGTTTCTTGTGTATTTTATGCATTCCTAACACCAGCCTGGCTCCGCAGTGGTATCACAGGATTGTACGTATGTTTTGCAGATAACAATTACTGGCGATGCCACTACCATTCAGCCATTGAAAACCGCACTACAAAATAATGTATCATTTGATAATGCGCAAGGCGGCTCTAATTTGACAAATGCATTCATTTTGGCGAATCAAACGTTTGTAAGCGGCACTGCACTCAAGGTACGACCGCCAGAAGCTTGAGTTTTCAAATCTAATTGCGCAGGAAGTCGCTCACTGCTTGTCAATTTTTTATTTTTCCATTTTATGGGTGCAAACATTGTGATAGTTGATCCCATCGTGGATGGTTTTTAAAAATATCTTCGTTCGCTCCCTGGCTTTAAATTCGTGAAAATCTTTCTTCAATGTGCTAATCACCAGCTTGAGACTGTGGTCCTGGCCGTGAGTAAGCAGGTCCCTGAGTTATGAAATTGTAAGGTAAAGCCAATAACCTCCCTGACAGTGGTTTCTCTGAGCAACAAGATCCTCTAATCGCGTGATCCAAAAAGCCAAACTCGTTCCGGAATTAATGGGATTGGGTCGATGGCATGAGCAGACATTGTAAACTTAGCCATTGATTCAAATCTAGAAGCCAATTAATAACCAGGAATGTGAATTGAAAATTAGTCATTTGATTTATCTGATTTTTGTCACATTAAACTTTTTAATATTGAAGGTAATTTTTCAGTGATTGTTTCATGTTGCAAATATAGGTCATATTGATAATCACCGACGGGCAAATTATGCCTGTGGATTCAGGAACCATGGCCAACACCAGAAATGTCTTCGACTCCATCCGATCGATCAACACTTTGGTTCAGATTTTTAGTTTTGATCGGGCGCCTCCCAATGCACCGACCGGGTTACAAAAGATTGCATTTGACTGCTTTGGGACTTACGAGAAGATAACATTCGTGAAGGATCCTCTCTGGACACTCCGGTCTTAGTTTGGTATTCTGGCCAGACTGCGGCTTACTGCAACCAACAACAAGCCATCTTAGACGGGATCTATCTGGATGCTGGCGGTCAGGTGAATGTAATAACAGTGATTTTCCCGGCTTTTGCTGACAATTACACACTCATCGGTGTTGCTGCCATCGACGTTCTTCTTGATTACCTGGGACCTGTTACACAATATGATTTTACAACTGCCTTAATAAATCATCGCAACACAGACGGGATTTTCAACCTTGTGCCGCCACTACTTCCATGTCCTGTAAGTGATTTGACAGTGTCTCAAAGAGCATGGTATTTTGAACTCTTTTTTCTTTTTCTTTTTTCGTTTTAGTTATTTTCAATCCATGATAATTTGTTCGTACGATTTGATTTAAATTTTTCTAGCATAAGGTCGAAGAACAGTTTGGAATGTCTAGAAGGAGATACCTGAACTTTCTGAGTGTTTATATTTTACAGTTTGCATTGTCAACGGCAAATCAATGCCCGAATGTCACAGCACCGGCAAATGCGTTGTGTCCACATACCGACACTAGTGGCCTTACTTATCGGCAACGAATTTGCGACTGCCCTGGAGTTTGTTTGGCCTCAGTAGAGGATCGAAGCGCTAATTCATCGACGTTGCCTGCATGGAAATTGGCCGTTGGTATCGCAAGTGGAGCTATTCTGTTCATTATGTGTGCAATATTCGTGCGTATGTTTGTGTTAAGGCATAAGATGTCAAGTGATGAGGTGGAGCAGGAAGAATTTTTGGGGTCGCTTCCCGGTCTTCCTCCAAGGTTCTCTTACAACGAGCTCGCATTAGCAACCAACCACTTCATGAAGGTCCTGGGCAAGGGCGGATTTGGCACTGTCTACGAAGGGGATCTGCCAGATGGGAACAAGGTGGCAATCAAGAGGCTTGGAGACTCTAAGCAGGGGCAGACGGAGTTAAGGGCCGAAGTAGCCACCATCGGTGGAATCAACCACCATTGCCTGGTCCGCCTGTGGGGATTCTGCTCCGAGGGTGCCCACAGGATGTTAGTGTACGAATGCATGACAAATGGTTCTCTGGATCGATGGTTGTTTGGCGACACCGTGCTGGAGTGGGCAGCTCGATACCAAATCGCCATGGACACTGCCCAGGGGTTGTGCTACTTGCACAGAGATTGCAGGCACAAGATAATCCACCTAGGTGTGAAGCCACAAAACATCTTGCTGGATGACCGCTTCCACGCCAAGGTGGCAGTTTTTGGCATGTCAAAGCTGTTTGACAGGGACACGAGCCAAGTGGTGACGAGGATGCGAGGCACGCCGGGGTACCTTGCCCCCGAGTGGCTCCTGCAGACGGGCATCACCGAGAAGTGTGACGTGTGGAGCTACGGAATGGTGCTCCTGGAGATTCTGAGCGGGCGTCGAAATGTTGATGTTCATGAGAGCCCTCAAAAGTGGTACCTCTCTGCCTGGGCAGTCCAGTGCATGCAGGAGAAATCCTGGCATGAGATTATCGATGTGCGAATCCAAGGCTCCCTGACCCCAGAAGATTGGGAGCACGTGAAGAGAGTGCTCATGATTGCGATGTGGTGCATCCAAGATGCTCCGCACATGAGGCCCTCCATGGCCAAGGTGGTGCAGATGTTGGAGGGCGTAGTGGACGTGGACCATGCACCTCTGCATTATGATTTCCTCCACATGGTCAGTGGGGACGCACCGCCGGATTCATCGATGACCTCCACCTATACACGTAGCGCCTTCTCCAGTGTTACAGAGCTCAACGACGATAGCTCAGAATCGGAGGTTCTGAGGAGTTGAGCCTCTCTCCAATGGTTCATGCTTGCGTGCCTGTTGTGGGTCTGTACACTACAGGGGTTGAAGGAAAAGTATAAATGAATAACAATAGCAGTATCAAAAGTAATCATCATCCTCTTCGCGCTTGTACCGGCATGCCCCTGGTGAGCTCGAGTCCATCCGTCTCCCTCACGAATACGCGCATATCGTGTCGTCTTGATGATGGTCTTACAAGCGACGTTGAGGAACGGGCTGGATTGATTCAAGGAAAGCCGGCTCGAAGAGGATAGACTTTAGGAGCTTGAATTCTTCGTCCGAGGTTTTGAATCGTGGGTGGAGGGCGGTAAGGTCGACTTCCACTCTGTTCGTGCTTGCGCTCAGAGATTAGCACAATTGCAGTGGAGGGGCACTGTTTCTATGTGTGGTTTTAGAAACCTGTTGTCAGTGTTGAAGAAGAGAGCATTCAGCTTGCGTAGTTGCATAGAATCTTCTTCCGATCTCGGACAAGCAGTGCAATTGTATCTCCGGAGGATGTGGAATTATCGATGAAGTCTCTGCAATGTCAGAAGGAAGTTAGGTTTTTTTCTGTCGAGATCATTACCTAGCAACCCTAATGAGCGCATGGTCTCTGTTGCATAGATGCCCTGTGCCCTCAAGACAGGAAAAAGTCCAGCGCTTTAAAAGAATGATCAATAGCAATACTTGATCTAAGAGTAGCTTGCCACTGTGTTGCATTAGCCGGGAGTGTCCTGCACCTGGCTTTCATTAGTACTTGTACCGTCAAGCGACTCAATCACTTGACGTCCGAATGAATATTTATCCTGCTCCTGAATCAGAGTCTTCCCAGCGCCGAGGGCAGGTTGCGTCTACAATGTACTCAAGGTATTGATGCCTCTGCACAGGGAGAGGGTCAGAAGGTGAGTACCAAAAATCTGGGCTGGAATGTGTTTCACTTGCGAGAATTGTTCTTGTCTGGCGTAAAGTGACAGTCCCCTCCTTCAAATTAGCACTTATTTAACGTCGTCACGCAACGGACAGAGTTTATTATCCTTGTGATACTTAGTTGGGTATCACAAGAAATGCACAAAGAATGAGGTAGAGACACCTAAACCTGCCAGAATATGAGGTTTCATATCTTGTGTGAATGTTACATGTGATTAAAGTATGAATTTGTTTTGCAAATGCAAGGAGAGGTTGAAATTAGAATTTTTGCAATGAAGGAATTTTTTCATGATTTTTTGAAGTAGGTGTTTGGTATACACCTATATAAGGCCATAGACTTACTAAAAAAACATATGAACTGTGGTAGCATTGAATTCATGCATGACATTTGTCCCAAATAATGTCTCATTTGTTCCAAACATTATGAAGTTTCTAATAACTTCACATTGACAGCCAATTTGTTTTTGGTGAAATAATAGGAGGGAGGAATGGGTAGTTGGTATAAAAGGGTGTCTCTACCATATGTTATAAACCTGTTGAAGCTCCTTGTCATAATGTTGTTCCAACGTTGGCAGCTTTGTCCAGTTTGTGAGTAGGTGCCAAGGACTGATGCCATCAACTGAATGGATGAAAATTTGCAGAATATCTTGGATGAGGATGCAATCTAGTTTGGGTGTACATATGTACTTAGTACACAAGTATAAGTATATAGCCTTAGTATTAATATATCCTTCACAAGTGGCTAGTGATTACTAATAAAGTATCAATAAGAGAAATATAATGTATCAAGATGGACAACTTGCAAGGTCATCAAAGCATGCCACTTGTCGTGGACACCCTCCTTCTCTTGAGCTTGTAAGCTCTTCAATCTAGACTTAGAAAACTCATCAATACATTGACATTTAATCGGCAGTTTTGTGTACAATTTGATTCACATCTTTTAATCCACTGTTGTTTAGTGCCCCAACTTACAGCTTTTTCCACTCAGCAACTTGGTTTTACTCTTCAGTTTTGGACCAAGTTTCCACGGAACCATGGATGGGCTGAGATATGTTGATACTCTAAGTGATCGTAGCCACACACCCTCGTGAAACATGAAGTAGCGGGTGCAGAGGTGAGAAACTCCCACACATCTCAAAAGCTTGTATATCAAGTTCATTCTTATGATGGCATATTAGGAATAAAACTGAGCTATCCCCTCTACTATAGGTCATCATTACCTAAAATTGAGCAAAAGAAGAAGGGATGAAGTGGAGGAAACAATAAACTATGAGGTAGAAAGGTCACCAAGAGGTAAAAAGGTCAATCAACTGTCTTTCTTTCCTTCTCCAATTTGCTCTCCCACTATTCCTATCACTATTTCGTTTGCAGGTAGCTTCACCTTCTAATTAATGTTATGCACTGGCAATGTAGTGATATGTGAAGACACAAACACCCCATCAAGCTCCCTCATTGGTAACACCACTGCGTGTAGTGATCAACCAAGCTCAAAACATATGGAGAAAATCACTGCACAAGCCCTCAAGTGCTGGATCACCGTCGACACCACAGCGCCTCATGAGTTGCTGTAGTTTCTGAGGAAGCTTTGCAGTAGTTTCTGCGGAAGCGCTTTGGAATCAAGCAAGAATGATTAATCAATCACAGAACGTTTTCGAGACGTTCATGAACTGCGTGGTAGCGTCAACATTCTCGTGACCAAGTTCTCATCACTGGGCACCCTCTTTCCACCCACAGCCGGGCGTGAAATATGCTAGTACGTACTTTGTGACAGTGCACCCATCGGTGGGCGTCAGAATGGGTGAGTGGACGACTGCAGCAGCTGCCATGGCTTGGCTTCCCGCCTGTTGGTCTGCTCCTGTCCATCCACTCCCGCGGGCTCCCGCTTGGTCGCCTACTCCAATCTACCCTTTCGTGACAGCAATGAAATGTTTCTTCAAATTGTCATGCGTGCATTGTTGACTTTTCAACTCCATAATTATGGAGTTGAAAGGTCATAGTACGCACTGGAGGATCACAGTATTTTTGAACGGCCACGCGAATAATTATATTCACAATATACTATTGTGAAATTCATCGAAATTGTATGAAAATATGTTCAAGTGGATGAACTCCTGTTCAAGTAAACGATAATTTGTCCAAATGGATGAATGTAGCTACACCAATTATCTACCCACGGTGCATGGTGATATCAGTGCAGCAAACACTCCCCCCCCCCCCCA